CANTTATTGCACCAAAGCAAACTCCCTTAGAATTTCTCAAATTTTGTAGACCAATTTTGTTGTCGTTTATTTTTAATCTTTGACTTTCATGAATTATGTTCGAAAAGATCTTAAACATTTATGCAAAACTTTGGTGTAAGAAAAAAAAAAAATGGGAGAAACAAAGGTTTACTTCTAATTTTCAAAATTTAGCGGGTTTAAATTTTATTAATAGAGGTCGATTTAGGAAGAGGGTTTAAGTAAATACCAAATCAATTTTTGGAATCTTTCAAGGGTAATTGGCATGATAAAAAATTATCTTATCAATTTGACAAATTTTGTTAAAAATCAATTTATAATTAATGCGGGAAATTTAATTAGTTTAGATATTGGGTAAACCACACAAAAGTTTAACAAATAATCATGATTTACTTGCAAATCACAATTTATAAATCTATGTTATATGCTCTTCCCGATTATGGTATTTTACATGAGTATTCCACTATTTATTAACATTAATATTAAAAAAAAAATATATGCAAAAATTCATAGATAGTAAAATCCACATATGGAGATTCCAGTTAGTTGAGAATTTTTTTGTATTGTGGCTTCTAAAAAAAACTGCATTTGATTCGTTAATACATCTGAATTTTAATTTGTAAGTCTATATCTTCAACTGGAAGATTTTCGGGTGCACCAAGATAGCATAATCAATTGTCAGTTTTATTACAAAATAATAGTTTATATATAAATAATTAATGCTTGCCATTTTTTATACAAAAAAATAGAAAAATGTTTGAAAATTGATAGTGTATTTTTTTTAAATGCCACTTTTTCAACAAAAAAAAAATTATTATATCAAAAATTGCAAATATACACACTAAAAGTGGCATTTAGAATATATTATAGACACTCTTAAACTTATTTACTGATTAATTTATGTGTTAAATGATTAATTTTGTTTTACCATATGGGTGTATTAAATTTATAATGCCTAAAATAGTTCCTAAATGATTTTTTTTGTGCTTGATGATTAAAGAGAAATTTCAAAAAATGCCATTTTTCAAGTGGTACCATTCAAAAATGCCACATTTTCAAAATCTTTGCAAAAATGCCACATTTTCAAAATCTTTGCAAAAATACCATTTTTTCAAAAGAAAAATCATTATAGCATTTATATTTGGGTAAACTATGTTGTATTAGA